GACTCAGGCAATTCTGAGTGTGGTGATAATCTAGGCCTCAATGTATATCTTTAAGTGAATAAATGGCTTTATTGGGTGATTTTTCCCTATGTTTATTATAACAATATGCTTAAAAAGTATGTATTATACGTTATTGATAGAAATGCTAAAATTAAGGTTCAGAAGACACTTCTCTTCTAAACACTTTTCAATATTTTATATAGGTCACACCAAAAAATTACTTCTGGGTTGAAATTTCTCATGCTTGGTATCAGCCCCAACATGACAATTTTAGAAGTTTTTCATTGACCGCTATTGAACTTTGAGTTCCAAATGTGACACAAAAAAGCATGTTTCCGGTACTGAACATTTTCTAGATTTTTTTGAGGCTCATATAACAAAACATGTTAAAGTCTTTTTATTTTTCTATATGCACATTACATCAGTAATTGTGACTGATGTTGAGAAATGAGTTAAAAAGAAGAACCATATTGTTGTAAATCAACTGCTCTCAAAAAGTTACCCAGTTATATGCTTTCAGTGGCAAAAACAGACTGCTGTAGTAGTAGCAAGTAATGTATCAGAATTATTCAAGGAGAATGGAGGCAAAATATATATTATGAGACTTATAAAAATAATACTTCATTGTGATTTATATGAACCCCATGAATGAACAGTTAATTGAGTTGTCCTAACAAGCATTTTACATAATAGGCAAAAAATAATTAAGACCGTTATTTAAAAATGTAATATTACTTCTACCAAGCTTATAACATTCTTCTTCAAACATACTAAGTCAAAAGATTACTTTGCAAATCACTTCCATAAAACAGCTGTCTTACAATGGTATGATACTTTATCCCCCATTTTTAATTCAATAGATCACCAAAATACTCATAATAGTTTTATTCATATGAAGAAATACAAAAGATATGCTCAACATCTGAAAGATTTAGGTCATCACCCACAGCAACAATCCATTCTTTAAAGGTGCTCATTAAGGAACATCTTGGTATCAGACAGCACAACAATGGGCACAGTATGAATGACTGGTCAGTCATTAAATAAAAATCATGCTTCCTTGACCTCAACTATAATCTTCAGTTTGTCTAAGGAAAGTACAGGGACAATATCAGATAATGAAATGAACACTGATTTAAGGTTTAATTATTTTTTCCTATTATGAATTGAGTTGCGTGAGCCAGATCTGTAAAATATGAATTCTTGTTTCATAATATTGTTAAAAATTATCTGATGAGTGCTCAAAATTTTTGGCACATCTAACCAGCAGACATTGCTGGTCTAGTTTGATTTTCCAAAACTCTCAATCTTTACCATGGCATTAACCTTGATCATTACTCCAGTCAAAGTTTTAAAATCATCATTCTGTAATTACCATCTCTAATTTTATTTGAAAATTCTGTAGTTTTTTAAAATCAAACCTTAATGTTTAGAATTCAATTAATCAATTTTAGATGCCTTTCTAACTAAATAAGATTGCATGGCTTATTTAAAGTGCAAACGCTATCTAAGAGAGACTATACAGGTGTCAGATAAGGCAATGTCAACCATTCAGTGACTTGTACCACAGCCTGCAGTGACTGCAAGAAGCAACTACAAATTAGCAAGAGTGCCTTTTCCTGCCTCCTTCCTCAATAACCTTCAAAAGCATAAGCATTATATATTTCTCCATTCCTATCCCATCCTCCCTTCTTAAATGCTTCTTATGAGATATAATAAGAAAAGGAAGGAAACTCTTTTGAGCGCAACTACGGTAATTACAACAAGAAAAATTAAAACACCTTGAGATGGGAATGTTTGAAAAGAGGATAGATTCACTTATTCACAGATAAAGTACAACACAGACAAAATCTCTCTGCACAACCCTAATGTGCCTCAACCTAACTTTTCAGTGTCCCCCAAGCCTTCCCATTTCTACTGAAGGAATGAAGGTGATAAGCAGAAATTAGACAGAAGTGAGGAAGTTAACAAAAGGCAGAAATCACTCTCAAAGGGCTTTACAGAATGTTGTGCAAAACTACTGGTTTCAGAGTAGCAGCCGTGTTAGTCTGTATCCGCAAAAAGAACAGGAGTACTTGTGGCACCTTAGAGACTAACAAATTTATTAGAGCATAAGCTTTCGTGGGCTACAACCCACTTCTTCGGATGCATATTGAGTGAAACAAATATCGAGGAGATATATATACACACATACAGAGAGCATGAACAGGTGGGAGTTGTCTTACCAACTCTGAGAGGCCAATTAAGTAAGAGAAAAAAAACTTTTGAAGTGATAATCAAGGTAGCCAAGTACAGACAGTTTGATAAGAAGCAAGTGTGAGAATACTTACAAGGGGAGATAGATTCAATGTTTGTAATGGCTCAGCCATTCCCAATCCCTATTTAGCCCTGAGTTGATTGTGTCTAGTTTGCATATCAATTCCAGCTCAGCAGTCTCTCGTTGGAGTCTGTTTTTGAAGTTTTTCTGTTTTAAGATAGCCACCCGCAGGTCTGTCATAGAATGGCCAGACAGGTTAAAGTGTTCTCCCACTGGTTTTTGAGTATTATGATTCCTGATGTCAGATTTGTGTCCATTAATTCTTTTGCGTAGAGACTGTCCGGTTTGGCCAATGTACATGGCAGAGGGGCATTGTTGGCACATGAGTTGGTAAGACAACTCCCACCTGTTCATGCTCTCTGTATGTGTGTATATATATCTCCTCGATATTTGTTTCACTCAATATGCATCCGAAGAAGTGGGTTGTAGCCCACGAAAGCTTATGCTCTAATAAATTTGTTAGTCTCTAAGGTGCCACAAGTACTCCTGTTCTTTTTGCAAAACTACTGATAACATGCCAAGTTATTAATGAGAAAAACGGTTTAAAAGAAACAGAAAACCCTACAGCCTTAAGCTAAAATCATCTGGCGTTCTCCTGCTTCTCTCTTCAGCATACTCTATAAACAATGATTGGCACAACAGAAGCAGCACACCTACCTGGATAGAAAACAACAAGCTAGTTATTTGCTGCCCCACAAAACATCCCTCCACCTCTCTCCAAAAGGACTCTTATGTTAAACAAATCTATAAATGCACCACTAGTTTCTTTTTACACTCACACAGTCATTTTAGAATAACTGTTGTATTTTCTCTACACCAGGGTTGGGCAAACTTTTTGGCCTGAGGGCCACATCGGGGAATAGAAATTGTATTTCAGGCCATGAATGCTCACAAAATTGGGGTTGGGGTGAGGGCTCTGGTTGGGGGTGCGGGCTCTGCGGTGGGCCTGAGTTGAGGAATTTGGGGTGTAGGAGGGGTTTGGAGGGCAGGAGGGGGATAAGGGCTGGGGCAGGGGTGTGGGAAGGGGTGCAGGTTCTGGTTGGGAATGCAGGCTCTGGGGTGGGGCTGGGGATGAGAGGTTTGGTGTGCAGGAGGGTGCTGGGATCAAGGAGTTTGGAGAGCGGGAGGGGGATCAGGGCTGGGGCAGGGGGTTGGGGCATGGGGAGAGGCTCAGGGGTTCAGGCTCTGAGTGGCACTTACCTCAAGCGGCTCCCGGAAGCAGTGGCATGTCCCTTCTCTGGCTCCTACCCAGAGGCGCGGCCAGGCGGCTCTGCACGCTGCCCCATCGGCAAGCACCGCCCCTGCAGCTCCCATTGGAGCGCTTCGAAGCTGGAGTGGAGCCATGCTGCGGCTTCTGGGAGCCACGTGGAACGGCCCCCGAGCCTGCGCCCTGGCTGGAGCAGGGCAAGCCCCAGACCCAACTCCCCAACAAGAGCATGCGGGACGGCTTAAAGCGGCTCATAGTTTGCCCACCTCTGCTCTACACTATAATAGCATGTTATTAAAAACCAAAGAGAAACCTTTATCTTGGAAATATTCGGATAAAATGATTATGAATGTAAAAGGAATTTTAAAATCTCAAATTCAAAAAATACAACAAAATTGTAGTTAGGAAAGCAAAGTTCAATCACCAGTTAAATGTTCTCTCATCAAAACGTGTGAAACACTATATGAAACAAGTAGCTGAAGAAAATATGTCTTACACAGGTAAGACAAATTGTAAACCCTTTTGTGATGTGATCAACCATCAGGTTGGTACAATCCTGCTTGTATCAAAGCCCAAAACGAATTTACTGCTTAATAACTTCAGACAATATGAAGTTGGGGTGTACCTGGAGATAGCCCAGTATATACAGGTAATAAAACTTTTTGCACAAATGCTCAAGTCATTGCTGAGAAGCTAGCATTTAAGAAGAAGTGCTCTGTATTACTCACTTACTGGGTTGTGAAGCCCATAGCGACTTTAAGTTCCTGAAATCCATTCAGTGGAAAAAACAGTAATGTACGCAGCATCTGGAACAGAAGTGTTAAAGCTGTGGCCTGTTGCCTTTTCCCACCTATGATAGTCTCCAACTGAGACACGAGCACAGCAAGAAATAAGACATGATACTACAAAACTCAAGAACATGCATATTTAAACATGAAACTTAGGCCAGGTGTACACTACAGACTTACATCGGTATAACAGTATAACGTTGCTCAAGGGTGTGAAAAATCCTCACTCCTGAGCGAGGCAGTTATAGCAACCTAACCGCCACTGTAGATAGTGCTATGTCGACAGGAGAGTTTCTCCCGTCGACATAGCTACTGCCTCTCCCAGAGGTAGATTAACTACGCTGATGGGAGAAGCTCTCCCGTCAGCAAAGTAGTGTCTTCACTAAAGCTGCACCACTGCAGCTTTTTAAGTGTAGACCTGCCCTTGTTTACTCAGAAGTTATTCAACAAGTGAATCTCTTTCTAAATGTTTACATATTGTACCACAGGTTTTGCATACTGTTCAGGAAGGAGGATTAGACAAGAGTGGGGAGAGAGAGCACGAGTGAGCAAGAGAGAGAATACGTGTATCTATATTTTTTCTAATAAAGACACTTATTCACGATAGCCAGTCACCATTATTACCCCTAGTTCTGTAACTATGCATTTAACAGAGAAATGAATCTAAATTCACAAACATTTAACTTACAGGAGCTGCAGGGAAATTGGCTGACAGTTCATATGGTTCCTCTGAAATCCAATGTCCACATTCCAAAGACCACAGTACCTAAAATAAGTTAAGTAATAAGTAGACACTTAAAATTCTATAGTACTTTTTAAGAGGCAATAAAACAGCAGCCACTTTGAAAACAACTAAAATTAACACTGAAGTTAGAATAGTTGATTACACTTTTTTTTAAACCCAAATCAAATGTTTTCCTGCAGATTAATAAGAGGTTTAAAAATAAGAATTTGTGGTTGCTTACTTGAAGTCTTTCCTTTCTTCAAAAGGAATAGGTCCACATATCCTCAGTGTGGATAATCACCTGTCTGTAGGTTTAGAATAAAAGCGGATTGGATGGCAGATAAGAGACTAGCCCCTATCTTCCGGAGACCCCATCAGTTTTGAGATGCTTCCAAAGCTAGCCTCTCCGGATTGTGAAACAAAAAAAATGAATCTCTCATCCTGCATCAGCACCTTGCCAAAATAATACTCAAAGAAAAATTTAACTACTGCAGAGAACTTTAAACAGATCTCCCTTTTTCAGGGAGAAACAGATCTGTGGGCCTATTCCTTCGAAAAGGGAAAATTTTCAGGTAAACAACCACAATTTCTCCCATTCTCTCTCTCAGGGCTAGGTCCACAGATCCTCTGCATGGGATTTTCTCAGCAGTGACAAAATTCCTAGGGAGGGAACAAAATAATGTCAATGAGAGAAAGGATTCCCTTACTAAAAGGAATCATCAGTGTGCAGAACCCACATGACAAAGGCTGCATCACCTGAAAACTGAATATCTATTTTGTAAAACAAGGTAAATATATGCAGGGATGACGAAGGTGCAGTTTTACAGATTTCATTGTAACCGGCCTGTCCTTTCTCCACCCACAATGCCACCACCACTTGTACTGAGTGAACTCCGATGCCCAGTGGAGAATTGAATCCTTTTGCTCTACATGCCTCAGCAAAGCATCAGCGTATCTACTCAGATTGATGATTTAGATGCCTTAGCACCTCTTTTTCTTGGATGAAATAAGACCAGTAAGTCTGTTTTTCTTATTCTCAGTCCTTTTCACATAAAACTTTAGGGCTCATCTTACATTCAACAAATGCCATAGCTTCTTCTTTGGGTGAGAAGAATGTGGACAAAAAGCAGGCAATGAGATCCCTTGTGCTTGATGAAAAATCAAATTCACTTTTGGAATAAGGGTGGGATCCATTCTCAAAGCCACCTTATCTTTGTAAAAGATGCAGCAGGATGGATAATGCTCCTAACTCTAACAACTTTCTTGCTGAAGAAGTGATAGCAGTCAGAAGAGTCGTTTTGATAGTCAAGTAAAAAGGACACCTGAATTATGGCACTGAGTACAACGTTTAAATTACAAGATGGAGATCTAGGCTATCTCGCCTGGGAGGGGAAGGTGGTGAAGGCGATGAGCTCTCTCGCTGCCTCAAAGGTCTCCAGTGTGAAGGGCAGCTCCAAAGCCTCTCTGCGACTCTCCCGAGGAGGGAGTCCCGAGGAGCTGGTCTCGACTGACCCCTTGTTGGTGCAGGAGTCAGCAGTGCCAGGCGAGGTGGTGCAGCGCTTACTTGGCCCAACGTGGGTCTCACTGTTCCAGAGTCCTTCCATCCCGGCCTCAGTGTGGATGAGTGCCCTCTGTCCAGCTTCTTCTTCTTGCGGGGCACCCAGGGATTGGTGAACAGTGCCATGCATTGCCATGCTTGGAGCTCTGTTCGTGCCGAGCATCTGTATCCAAGTCCTTTCTCAGCGCCGAAGTTTCCTGTGTCAATGCCGGAGCACTGTGCACCAACGTTGAGGTGCTAGGCATCAGTTTGGCCGAACTCGGGTCCGAGTGGGGGCAAAGGGCAGCCTCCATCAGAAGGATCTTCAACCATTGGTCTTTCTTTTTGAGTCCTGGGGCAAAATCCCCTACAGATTTTGCAATGGTCCTCCTGATGCGATTCCCCCAGGCACTTCAAGCAGGAAGTGTGAGCGTTGCTCCTGGTCATAGGCTTGTTACAAGCTGCACGGGGTTTAAACCCTGGGACCGAGGCATGCCCCAGCACTGGGGAAGAGGGGGTAGGGAAGCAGGGGGTACCCCCAGAACAATTCCCTACTGGAATCCAACTATATAATAACTAGCTACAACTACTAACTAACTGATTAAACTAGTTACAGAAAGACAGTCTGAAGATTACTAGGGAGAAGGCTTGCCGAAGCAAGAGCAAATGAGCGTTCTGGCTAACTGTCACAGGCAGTAAGTAGGAACTGAGGTGGTGGCGGGACCCTATATATGATGCCATGGAGGTGCAACTCCAGAGGGCACCTGAGCAAACCCGACGGGTATTGCTAGAGGAAAAACCTTCTGGTTACTGTGCACACAGCACACACACACACCTAATTGGAATCGACATGAGCAAGCACTCAAAGAAGAACTTTTAACTTACAGGAGCCGCAACCTGATATCAAAACCATCTTGTAAAAATTCCAGAACATGAGACGCTTTGGTTACATGATGCTGAGTATAGATTCATAGAAACATAGGACTGGAAGAGACCTTTCCTCAGCCTCACGGACCATACTCAGAGTAGCCATCAATGGCTTGCTGCCAATGTTTGGATCATTTACTGAGTCACTCAAGCAGACCACCTCCTTGGACGAGGGTCTGTCTAGAATAGGAAAGGGTATACCTGTATCCCCTTCTGCCTGAGAAAAAGCCACCAGAACAATGAGAACTTTTGAGAATGCTCAAAGGTGCAGATGACAGTCTAAAATACAGCATTTTGCACTGCAAAATGATCAGTCCCATGAGCAAACTGCAGAAATCTCCTGTGTGCCTGGTGAATATAGGCTTTCTTCAAATTGATTAACAAAGTAATCCCCTGGCAGATCGGCACTGATATGAACGTCATGAACATGATACTTATGAACTTGTTCTGGTGTTTTAAGTCCAACACAGCTCTGTCCTCCTCAGACCTCCTGGGTACCAGAACAAGAGATTCAGTAGTGACCAGAGAACGTCTCCATCTCAGGAACGATACTGCACTGATTCACAAAAGATGAACTATGGCCTTTAGCATATTTTACCTCTTTTGCAGATTTGATACTAGTGAAAGGGAAAACGACAATTCACAATCTTTGAAAATTCTATGATGTACCATTGTTAAACCACATCCAGGACCCATCCGTCTGATGTGGAGAGAGGCCATTGGGTCCTTGAACTTTAATAGTCTCCCCCATAGGTGTTGCTTGTCAGTACTCTCCTGACCATAGTATGAGAATGTTCCTAGAGTTGGAATTTGCATTGTGGGAAGACTGGTCTCTCTCCTTTCCGGGATTAGACTTGTTACATTTGCTTTTGCTGTAGTGTTGACTTCTATACTTAGAAAAAGGATATTTAGACCTGTAAAAACCTTTAGACCGGGATTTGGAGTTAGGAAGGTTCTGTAAGGTCTTTGATTTATCTGAGGAACCTTTGTCTAATGGTTCCCCAAATAACCAAGCTCCTGAATATTTAAAAAACAAACTACTAATGTGATTTTGGCCTCTATATAGCCCTTCCAGTCATGTAAACAGAGGTGCTGTCTGGTCACCACATTGGAGACCATGCTTTGTGCTGAAAACCTCAAACCATCTCTGGTTGCATCAGCTATGAATGCTGAAGCCATTGAGACTTTCTTTAACTCTGAACCTAATCACGATTGCTTAGCCTTTTGGCAATCTGGCTACCAAATTGTCAATCCAGGCCAGTACTGCTCTTGCTTAACATGTTGTCACACCAGAAGCTCTCAGAGAGGAAGATACAGACTCAAAATGTATGCTGCAGTTATATTTCCACTCTGCAGGCATTGGATTCTTTAAGGAAAAAGTCCCCTTCCAGCAGTCTCTTTGACTAATGATGAAACTGCCTCATCCACTTTGGGAAAAGACACAAAATGTGCTTCGCTATGGTGCATGTTGTAGAATTTTCTCTCACACCTGGACAATGTCATAGACTCGTGCCAAGGTTTCCCATTCAGCTTTAATTACTCTTTCCAAAAAGACATGAAGGGGGAATATATGGTTCAGCTTAACCTGTTGGAATATACTTTTTTTTTTTTTTTTTTTTGTAATTTCTGTACCAATCCTCTATTCTTCCTCCTTAGAATTTTTTCTAGTAGGCTCATCCGATAGAATACTTAAGTATCTAATCAACCTTTCTCAAATCATTCAGCTGGAAAAAGATCCTATTGATTCTCTTCATCCTGTGATTCTGAGATTGAGAGTTCACCTTCCTCCTGTGAAGAATGTCCTGACTTTCTTCTGGACTTCTTTTTTCTTCCCTTTGATTTAAATTTAACAGATTTCCCAACCTTCTTTTTTTTCTTTGTTGATACCCATGAAGATAAGGATGAAAATGAATTAAATGATGATGATGAAGAACCAGACAATAAATTCTACTCCTTTTATTATGATTTTTCTTTCCGAGTATGAAAACCCTATGTGAAGAGCCTTTAGCTCTGGCATCCTCTGGGGATAAGTCAGAGGAACTGCTGTCAAATGGAGGACCGGACAGTTTTCTAAGTTTCTGAGGTAATTTCTTGAACCTTGTTCGCCCTTTTAAAAATTTTTACTCCTTAAGGGAGGTGGGGATTGGGAACCTGGGTCAGACGAAGAGTCCTGCAAACCTCTTCTGCTAATAGGTACCTCTTTATCTTTGTCCTTTAGAGAGAGGATAGAATGCCTGTGATGGGGGGAGGGATAGCTCAGTGGTTTGAGCATTGGCCTGCTAAACCCAGGGTTGTGAGTTCAATCCTTGAGGTGGCCACTTAGGGATCTGGGGCAAAATCAGTACTTGGTCCTGCTAGTGAAGGCAGGGGACTGGACTCGATGACCTTTCAAGGTCCCTTCCAGTTCTAGGAGATGGGATATCTCCATTAATTTAATAATTTATGGGACACTGTAGCTGCTGCCTGGGGCTCACAAGATGGTGATATCTGAGGTAAAGGAGCTTTTTGTGCTAAATCCAGGGACTCCCTAGCCCAAGAGGTAATTTCTTCTTGAGGGGGGGAGTCCCTTCTTCTCTCT